TTTGGGGCTCCCCCTTTCATTCATCCCCCCCCTTTGCACCCCACTTGCTGGATCCCCCCCCACCCTGCCCCGGGGCAGACGGTGGGGTACCGGCAGCCCCCACTGAGCCCCGGGGATGATGGGGGGCGGGGGTGTCACGGAGGGGACAGGAGGGGGACAAGGGCTGAGCCCGGGGACACGGATGATGCTGCCAGGGGGTGCATCAAAGAGGGTGTCCCCAGGGTGCAGTCACAGCAGTTGGGGTGCTGTCGAGCTGAGGGGGGGGGCACAGCACCAAATCACCGCGGCATGAACGGGGAGGTGAGTAACGAGCCCCTCGCCCAAGACTGTTCCAAATTAAAAACTTTTTTATTATTTAAACTCTCTCCCGTTCCCCTTTCTCCCAGCCCGGAGCGATCCTGCTGCTTCGCCGGGGCAGGGCCCAGCACCCCCACAGCAGGGAGGGGAGGGGAGCCCTTGGCACAGGGGGTCTGCGCCCCACAAAGCGGCCCCCCCAGCACGCTGCACCCCACGTCCCCGTGCTGCTGCACCCCTGCCCCACAGCGACAGGGCTGCCCAGGGCCTGCGTGCGGCCTCGGGGCATCGCCGAGCAGCTCCCCCCCACCGCCATAGGGGTGTCCCCTCCGGAGGGGGGAGCATAGGGGCACCCCAGTCCCTTCCCGGCCTGCCGGGTGCTGCTGCCCTTCATTTGCGTCTCCCAAAGATGGATTTCTTGCTGGGGTTCTTCTCGCCCACGCTCAGCCCGATGAGCAGACGCGCCTTCTCGTCCTCCTCCTGCTGCTGGATGGTCCCGTCCGATTTGTTCTCCAGCTTCCCCCGGGCCTCCGAGCCCGCCGCCGGCTTCAGGCGTAGCTTCTCTTTGATCACCTGCCCCGGGATTTAGGGGGCTCAGCACCCCACAGCCCCACCCATGCCCCTCAGCAGCCTGAGCTGTTGAGCCAGTGGGGCTGCTTCCCCGTCTGGAGAACATTACCACCTCCATCCCAGGTAGAGTGGCTCCACCGGCCTTCCTACGAGCTTGAAGGAGGCACCATGGGATGAGGTCCCACCTACCTGTGCCACCAAGGCTTTGCGGCTGTCCCTCTTCACCGCCATGGCGAAGTCCAGCCACGTCCACGTGTTGTTGTGGTACTCCAAGCACGGCAGCACCAGGTTCAGGTCACCCCAATCCACGCTGTTCTTCTCGCCCTGGGTGAGAGGGGTGTCAGGCAACGTGGAATGATGCCCCAGGCCACCCCCCCGAGGGGAAGGGGCCAGGTCCCCTCCCCAGCACACCCCGTCCCACCAGCCTCACACCTTGTAGCTGACGCAGAGCGGCACCTGCGGGATCTTGATGTAGATGAAGGAGTTGTTCATGGCGGCGCGCTCCTTCATCTTGTCGATGTCATCCACGGGATGCTGGGGACAGAGCAGGAAGCCGTGAGCAGAAGGGAAGGAGAAGGGGACACAGCCAGGAATCAGCAGGGAAGGGACAGGCGGGCACTAGGCCATGGCATTGCTTCACCAGGGAGAGGTGAGAGCTGCTCTGGCACGTGTTAGGAAAAGGAGATGCCGCAGGGATCGCATCACGCGCGCAGGTGCTCGGTTGTAAAGGATGCAAATCCCCATGGTGGGAGGGAGAAGGAGAAAATGAACAGGCAAGTGGGGGAGGAGATGGCTGCCCAGGGAAAACAGACCTGCTCCACAGCAGGGGTCTCCCAAATTCCCCCCGTGGCTGTGTGCTCCCCCTGTTTTGCTGCTCCTGCCCAGCCTTGGCCACCATGGCCACCACAACAGCAGTTGTGATAACTTGCACCCAGACTTTGAGGGCTGGCTGGCAACAGAGTCAAAATACTGTCTGGAGTGGGGACCTAGACATTTTGTTGCCATGAAAATATGACTCTAGGTCAATTATCTGACTGTATAAATAGTGGACAGCCCAAGAGCCCTTTAGAGCTCTCCTGGATGGCAGTGGCTGCCCACCAGGATCTCCCCTTTGGTGAGGACACTCGCTTAAGGTTCTACTCCTCGAGGTTGAGAGATTCCTTGCCACAACAGATTCTCGGTAAGTGACTAATAGCATGCTAAACTTTGAAATCTCAGCTAAGTAATGTAAAGGATTGATTGCACATATATAATCCTTTAGACATAAACCGTTGACCAAGTCTGGGACTAGGATTGGATCCAGCCACACCTAGACTCCTCTCCGAGAAGGAGTTTAGAAAGCAAGGGGGTCCTTTCTGAACCTCGTGACTCAACGGGAGGGTCTCCCTGACAGCGCGTCTGAGCCTGTCCTCTATGCAGTAAATAACAGAGTGTACCTTGATATCGAATCTCATAAAACATTATCGCATTTACTACTGGTTTTATCACACTTACTACTGGTTTTGTTAAATCACTGTTTCACCCTAATAAATATTTCACTGCTTCACTCTAACTAGTGAAGTGAATCACTCCATTGGCAACACCCCCTCAAGGCAGCAGCAGGTACCTCAGGTGCTTTTCGGAATGATCTTCTGACCCCTGACGTCCGATTCAGTCCCTGAGTGACTCCCTTCCCTGGGCCCAGCGAGTCATCGGCCACGATCAGCTGCCGCGGCTTCACCACGGGGATCCCTGGGACAAAGAGGGTGGGAGGTGGTGGCTGGTGTCCGTTGGAGGTCAGCCATGACCCAGAGCCTCCCCACAACGGCTGACCGCAGGGGAGACCACAAGTCCCAATATTTCCTGGACAGACAGCCAGAGCTGTCCCTCAGACGGCAGGGAGAAGAGTGACCCCGAGTCTCTCACCTGTTGTCACCAGTTTGGACTTGTCTTCTTCATCCCCCACCTCCTCCTCCTCCACATTGCGGCCGGGGAAGAAGAAACCCATCATCCTGTGGAAGAACTGGTGGGTGAGCTGGATGGTGAGGGGGACCACGTTCACCTGCAGGAGAGAGGTGTGTCAGAGCTGGACACATGCTGCCCACACCCCCCAGGGACCCTGCCACCTCCCAGCATGGCCCTGACACCTCAAAGTGCTCCTTGATGGAGATGCCTCCCACGGGCGGCCGGACTTTGCTGAAGATCCTCAGTGCCAGCTGCCGGCCAGACTGGCAGGAGCTCTGGGGACGCAGCACCACCTGCAGGGAAGAGGATGGGTGGCTGAGTTGAGGACAGGCCACTTGAAGGTCCCCAGGGTGCAGGGCTGCTCCCCCAGGCTGCCACTTGCCTTGTACACAGCGTTGGGCAGGAGGTTGTTCATCGTGACCCAGCCCAGTTCCAGCAGATGCTCGGCCGTGTCGTCAGATTTGTTGACCTGCACACACAGAGCCATAAAGTCACAGAATCGTTTAGGATAGAAGGGACTTTTAAGATCACCAAGTCCAACCATCAACCTAAGACTGCCAAAACCACCACTAAACCATGCCTCTCAGCATCACATCTACCCATCTTTTAAATACCTCCAGGGATGGTGATTCTACCACTTCCCTGGGAAGCCTGTTCCAATGTTTGATAACCCTTTTGGTGAATAAATTTTTTGTAATATCCATCCTCAACCTCCCTTGGAGCAACTGAAGGCCACTTCCTCTCACCCTATCACTTGTTACTTGGGAGAAGAGACAAACACCTACTTCGCTACACCCTCCTTTCAGGGAGTTGGAGAGAGCAATCCTTTTCTCCAGGCTGAACACCCCAGCTCCCTCAGTTGCTCCTCCTAAGACTTGTGCTCCAGACCCCTCACCAGCTCCGTTGCCCTGGACTCACTCCAGAACCTCAATGTCTTTCATGAGGCCCCGCATGTCCCATGTCCCATGTCCCATCTTGAGAACTGTGGATGCCACCAGCTGGCTCGGTTACCTTGCTGTAGAGGAAGCGCTGGAGCTCCAGCTCGGCGATGCCCAGCTGCCCGTCCTCCTCAGTCAGGCGCCAGCGTGCCTGGGCGAAGTAGAACTCGGTCCTCCGTGCCACGCTCACGTCCTCCGGCTGCTTTCGCAGCTCCATCTTGTTGGCTCGCTGCAGCTGGAAGTCCTTGAAGCACCTGCAGTAGAGAGGAGAAGGCTGAGATGTGGGACCCATGGAATAAGGGGGACACAATGCTGGGGAAGCCAGAGATGGTCCCTACCTGATGAGTATGTTCAGCTCCTCGCTCTCCAGCTGCAGGTCAGCTTTCTCCTGGCTCAGCTGCTGCTGCAGCCTGTGGTTGAGGTCGAGCAGGTTCTCGTTTTTGCTGTCGTCCTGCAGGGACTGAAGGACAGACAACCCTCAGCACCCTCTGTCCCGGAGTAGGGACCCCCAGGGAGCCAGGATGAGGGCTCACCTTCACGTTGGAGTACATCTGCTTCTCCAGCTGCCGGATCTGGGCGACGTGTTGCCTCACGGCCTCCTGCAAGTGCAGGATACTGCTGCGCTGCTCCTCGGGGTTGCTGGAGATTTCCAGCTGGAAGCGCACCCGTTGTTTCTTCTCACTGTGCTCCTGGACACAGGGAGAGGGGAAGGTTAGGATTGCCCTGGGTGCAGGTGAGTGACACGGTGACCTGAAGACCTCACGGGTACCTTGCGTTTGGGCTCCACGTGCAGCAGTAGGTTGTTGACTATGTCAAGGATCATGGCATACTGCGCGGGGTTGGTGGAGATCTCCAGGTCGTGGTGGATCAGTGTGAATGTATCCACAGCCCCTGCGGTGACACACAAAGGGCAAGTAGGGCCTCAGCATGGCCACAAACAAGACTCATGTCGGGGCCAGCCAGAGATGGAGAGGGATGAGGAACGAGTCAAGGTAGCTGTGTTAGCTCCAGCAGGCAACAGCACGTCCAGCATCATCTGATGCACCGCCACGTGGCTGGGGACCCCTCCTGTATGCACCCCTCTGATCTCAGCAAGGTCAAGACAGATCATCCCTGG